GAGGGAGAAACAGAAACATCAATGATGAGAATCATCGATCAGCTACCTCTTGCAAGCCCCCACTGGGGACTGAGCCCACAACCCAGGCATGCACCCTTGATCGGAATCAAACCTGAGACCCTTCAGTTAGTTCACAGGCCGATGCTCTATCCACTGAGCCAAATGGGCTAGGGCAACTATTTAAAGTTTTTATTAATGTAATAGCTTGGCCACATTCTCACACATCAAAAGGAACGTTAATCAGTGTTTCAAAACTGATAAAAGGGTTGTGCACAGCAGATAACTGGATACATAGAATATTTTTAGTCTTTCCAACAGCCCAAGAAAGTTACATTTATCCTAAAATAAATTACAATATACTCAACAATGGCAAGAAGTATCAGAACTAAGTAATAGCAGTAGCTATGTATTACTTATCAGATCGTCTAACTGGCAATTACATCTGAAAAAATATTTAAGACATGGATTACCATTCAGTTCTGAATCAGAAACCCTGATTGGACAGGGAGACTAAAAAAGGACATTTTGTAAACAATTGGGAAAATCTAAATGTGAACTTACACCAAATGTAATTATAGATATTTTAATACATATTATTAAATAATTATTCATTTTCCTAGGTGTAATAATGTCATGTGGTTATTTGTAAGAGAAGCTCTTTATTGTAAACAGATGCTTACTAAGGAAACATTTGGGCACAAATATGAAGATGTTTGCACTTTACTTTTAATTTACTTAGCCTTAAAAGATAGCATGTGTAGTATAGAGAAAAGTCAATGTGTCAAAATGTTAAGTAGGTATACATGTGTCCCCTTTTAGCTTGTATAGATTTGAAAATCTTAAAAAGTTGGAGGAAACCAGCCCTGGCCAGTAGCTGAGTTGGTCAGAGCATCCTCCTGATATGCCAAAGTTAGGGTGTTTTTTGTTTTGTTTTTAAAAGTTGGGGTTTTGATCCCCAGCCAGAGCACATACAAGAAGCAACCAATGTATACATAAATATGTGGAACAATAAATCAATGTTTCTTTCCCTTTCCCTCTCTTGCCCTCTCCTCTCTAAAATCAAAAACACACAATACAGACAGCACTCTACACCTTGTCCCAAGCCCATGTGGTTGCAAAGTTGTTGTTTTTTCATCTGCTTGCTTGGGAAGCAGCATATTATGGTGCCAAGTAGAATAAAAACGCCTACAATCTCTTAGTTGAGACAGTGTTGAGAGTGTTTTTATATGGGATGAAGGGATAGAATAAGGCAAGAAAAGAGAATGGAGAGGAAAAAAGAAAAATAAAAGAGAAAGGAGGAAGGGATAGAATAAGAGAAAGCAGAGAAGAAAGGCATCATTAACAAGAAGCAAATCTGAGCTTCCAAAAGTCTTCATTGGCATAATATCGAGGAGTGATTTGATGAGAAAATGGAGATTACATGTAAAAGGAATTTGAGTATCGCCCTGGCTGGGTAGCTCAGTTGGTTAGTGCCCTCCCCATGAGCCATGGTTGCGGTTTGATCCCTGGCCAGGGCACATACAAGCATCAACCACTGAATGCAAAATAAGTAGAACAAGTTGATGTTTCTCTCTCTCTCAAAATCAATAAGGTAAAATAAAAAATTTAAGTATCATACTAAGTATTACTGGATTATGTATGTACATGTAACTTTCAGTGAGAAATGAGAAAGTTCCTACATGACATCTTACAGGTTAATAGTAACACCATAATAGCAAGAAAAAAGTTACAGCAACAGGTGTAAAACCAAATGAAATTCTTTCCTTTATTTATCTTTGAAAATATTCTCATAACATAAATTTTTAAAGTTTTTAGACCCAAATATATGTTCTATTACCGTTAGGGTTCCAAATAAAGAAAACCAAGCAACAAATTCCCAACAACTTTTAAAAGTAGAGTGCACTGCCTAGTCGTAAAAACACCCACTCCTTAATCCATGCCGAATTTCATAGATTAATTCCAGTTAACTGGGTTCCGATTCAATGTACTTCATAACACCAGTGTGAAAATGAGTTCCCTGAAAACTGAAATTCACTCTACATCAGGCAGAAATTCACAAACCTGGCCTGAAAATCCGTGGGAAGAAATTTCAAAACTAAAATATACTTTCTTTAAAAAGTACAGGAATGCAGCATCTTTGAAAAAAAAAAAAAAAAGTCAAGAAAACAACAACCAAAAAGTGGGAAATATCAGCATATGCAGTTTGCATTATGATTGTCTAAATAAAACTGATTAATTTGGTTCTTGAACTTAAAAAGGAAAAAAAAAAAAAAAAGGATTATATTCCTACATATTTGATAGTTGGGTCAAGTTACTTCAAAACCTACCACAGGCTTACTTGGTGATATTTCCTATAAATCTTCCCTCTTTCTGCCTCCAAGTTAAATCTCCACTCTCTTTTTCTGGGGGTGGGGGTGGGGTGAAAAGAAAAAAAAACAACACAGCTGCTTCTAAGATATATCACTGATTCACCAACTCATCAGTCAGCACCACAGGTGCCATCACACTCAACTTTTAAAGGACACTCCATTTACTCAAATTAAGAACTGGTATCTGCTGACCTACAGGATACCTCACAAAGAAAAATAAGGTAGATGTTTAAGAGCAAAGGAACTTCAGTCTGTGAATTCAAAGACAGCTTCTTTTGAGCAGGTATTAATCCTTCACAATACACTTACACCAAAAAGGAAGTGTCTTATAACAAAACAAAACAAAAAAATCTTAAAAGTCATCATTTTTAAAAAGGTCTAGAATATCAACACTTCAAGACAAACGCTTACAGCCCTGGCCAGTTTGGCACAGTGGATAGAGCATTGGCCTCGGACTGAAGGTCCCAGGTTCGATTCAGGTTGGGGGAACATGCCTGCCTGGGTTGTGTGCTCGATCCCCAATGGAGGGCGTGCAGGAGGCAGTTGATCAATAATTCTCTCTCATTGTTGATGTTTCTCTCTCTCTCTCTCTCCCTCTTCCTTCCTCTCTAAAATCAATAAAAATATACTTAAAACAAAAAGACTAACCCTTACAAAAGTAAAGGCTTCACTTCAGACCAGTTCAAATCTTCAAGACTGTTTTATACTTTATACTTGTAGTTTATGCTTAAGGCAGTAGAGATATTAACTAGTTCCCATCAAGACACAGCGCATACTGAAGTAAACCTATTCTTCTTCATGTTCTACTACTATTTCTTTCCAAACAATAAGAGTCACTCGGGCTAATAACCATGAGACACTGTGGTGAGCAGTGCCCTGGCCGCACCAGTTACCAGGAAAGGGAAGCAGCGGTGTTATTGTTCCAGCCTTATCCTAAAGGCAGCTCCCAGCGACTGCTGCTGGCCCAGCCCACATTTAAAGACAGAGCGGCCAGAAGAAACCAGAGCGGCAGGAAACAGGCAGGAGAGGCAATTACCACAAACCTTTCCCATGGCCTCATTCCCATGCCACCATTTCCAGCCTTAACATTTCAATTTTCACACAAATCCCCCTTCTCTGAATTGTTTCTTAATTATTGAGGGTCAGAGGCAACAAGGAAGCAAAAGGAGGAAATCAGAGCTGTGGGAAACAAGCAGGATAGGGGGAGAAATCTCGTTACACATGAGAACAAGCTGTAAGGGGGAGGGGAAGACTAGGAGGAACTCACTAAGCTAGCCGAAGACGAGTATGGGAAACTAATCATTTCCGCCTAATGATAAGGGAAGCCTTCTCAGCAAAGGAGGACAGCCCAAGCCAAGGGGTCCTTGCAGGAAGGAAAGAGATGTGGTATCCTGGAAGACGGTGAAATTCACTCCCCTTCCTGAGACAGACAGGAACCAACCCAATCTAGGCACCTAATGCCTAGGACATAGGAGCTCTTAGGTATTATGCCCATTTTCCAACCACGTTTTATTAGTCAAACTGACACACAAAAAAGAACGTACATCTCATGGCAAAAAAGTAAGGAACACACTACTCACATACCTCTTGGTTTAAAAAGTACTATCATAATTGAAAATATAAAAGATCTGGTTTCACAAAAAAAAAAAACAAAAAAAACTTTAATTATATGCCCTTCAAATAAGATGATCTTTGGATGCCTTATGTAGACCTTCAAAAGCTCTCAGTTGTTAGGACACACAGGTGAAACCCTAAATACTGGCAGACAATATACGTTGGACGTAAGTATAAACACTACCCAACGGAGATGATAGTAAACTACAGGATTATGTCTCACAGGAAATAACAGGAATGATGATGGCATCAACTCAGGGAAAACAAGGACAAGAGGCCAGAGTGGTGGCACTTGAGATGCCTGGGCAATTAATTAGATTAAAAACCCACGGGGAAAGGTGGGGCAGCCAAGTGAGAAAGTGATTCAGAGGCAAAAAGATGTAATGCACTAAGGCATTTTTTTATATTATTGTATAACAGAAAGCGCTTTAGTTTACAAAGCGCCAACAGGACATGGGACTGAGAAAACGGAGTCTCAAGAGACTGTCACCAAACCCTTCCAGAATAAAAAGGAGTAGAGTTGAACTATGCCTCCGAGTAAAGCCGGGAAAGGCTAGAGAGGGCAGAAGTTGAGCTCTAAGAGGTCCAGTCCCAGGACTAGCGAGCGACAGTCGTGAAAACGGAAAGATGGTCAAGAGGGGAAGCGTCCGCGTGGTGGGGGAGCTCCAGAGGGCAGGAAGAGACTCAGGTAGGAGGAAAAAACCACACCCTCCAGGGCAGAAACCTTAAGGGGGGAGGGGAGTGAGCCCCCTGAGGCTGGGTGGGGCCCGGCCGGGCGGGACCCGAGTCGGCAGGAAGCCGCGCGGGGCGACAGGATGGGAAGAGGAAGGAGGACGCCCGGGCCTGGGCATACGGAGGACGCTGGAAGCCGACGGAGGAAGCTCGGCCCGGTCCTCGCGGGTGGGCACTGGGGCAGGATAAACGGGGCTAAAGAAAAGAAGACCTAAACTCAACGCTACAAAGCGCAATGAAGGGCCCGGAACTGGGAAGGAAAGAGAGAGAGAGGGTGGCAATTACCGATGCTGATCTCGCTGGACTCGGCACCCGCCGCCGCCGCTGCCGCCGCTCGTTACCTGCCAATGTGCCTCTTACAAAGCGGCGGCGGCAGCAGAGGCAGCGCGTCCCGTCACGTGGCCTCTACGTCACGGGCGAAGGAGTGGTCACCACGCGACGCTCACCAGCCCGCGGGTGGAGGGCAACGCTTCCTCTGCGGACCCCACCACCACCCAGGGAAGGTCCACAGCGCCGAGGCCCGGGGAGGCGCGGGGATGGATGGAGCACATGAGGGAGATTTATCAGGAGCGAACGATCCACAGCACTCAGGATGCCCACAATTGCAGCTCGTTGTCGCGCTGTGATGACCTCACAAGGCAAGCCCCTCCCACGTCGTCTCCCTGCTCGCATCACGTGACGCGTTCCAACCACTCAGGGCAACGAACGTTGCGGGAGGGGACTACGACTCCCAGGTTGCTGCGCGGCGCAGGCCTCCACGCGTGCAGCCTTTTCCCCCGCACGTTCTCCCCTGATGCGACTCAGACTTAATACAGAGCGAAGGCCGAAAGGGTAAGCGGATAGGTCTGTCATTTGAGACGAATGCCCGTGGGTGCCTCCTGCCAGGTGGCGGAACGTGGTTCTTGCTGCGGGAACAGTCCCGGCGGGAGGAGGCTTCCACACCCACAGCCCAGGCTCGCGCTCCTCCCCGCTCCCTGCGCGGGAAAACGCCAACGGCCAGTCACGGTACCGGCGGCACCAAGCGGGCTTCAGACGGAACCTCCTTTCTTATTAAACATGGGGTCGAATTCTGCATTCCCAAGTCCCCTCTCCGTGAAAAGATAAACACTTTTTGAACTCCTATTCGATGTCAGTTATTACTGTCATTAAGTCATGTAAACCCTTCGATAAAGGGATTTCCCCGTTTTAAGCATGAAAAAGGGATTAGAGAGGTTCAGCTGTCCCGTCTCATACTCAAGATTTTCCCTTTTCCAAACAATGAATAATCCTCTCAAAACTACCTCACCTATTTTAACTTTATGAATTCAGAATGATGCAGCCCTAGCCGGCGTGGCTTAATTGGTAGGAGCGTGGTCCTATGCACCGGCAGGTCACGGTTCCATTCTGGTCAGGGCACATACCTAGGTTCCGGGTTTGATCCCGTGGCGCCAGAGGGGAGGCAACCCATGTTTTCCTCTCTCGCTCTCCACCCCCCTTTTCCTCTCTAAAGTCAATTTTTAAAAAAAGAAAAATGGAGATAATGGTTTATAATTGTAGTACATTGTTATGCAGTTTGAAGTATTTTCTCATTTACTGGTTTATTTGATCTTAAAAGGCAGTATCCCGGACTATTCGATCCATGCACTTTGGAGTCCAGCAGGCCTGACCTCTCAATTCAAGTGTTCCTTTGTGATAACACTGCTTCACCAGATGGTGAAACTTAAATGAGATATATAAAGTATCTGCTTCACACATAGTAAATACTCAATAAATATAATTATTTCCACACCCCGTTTGTACCATTTGGGCACAACCAGTCTAAGTAAGGTAGGTAAGGGAATTAACATTACTAAGTTGCTAGTTAACTACTAGACTAGTTATAGGTTAAATTACCTGATAAAAACAATGGAAACCTTAACAGTCCATCCCAGTTAAAGGAGGGCTTTGTAACTCATCCAAATTGATCAAAGAATGCTCAGACTGCCTTTAACAAATAGAACTTATTCATATGTAGATGTTTCTTATCTCGCCCCTTTTGACAGTGAGCTAGGATTGTGTCTGCTCTGTACAGTCTTCCCCCTCTTTGTAGTACTGCTTTATAGAAATGTGTGGGAGAATCAAAGATAACTATCCTTGAGAGGTAAAAACTTAATAGCAAGAACACAAGAAAAACAATTCTGAAAGGATGTATACAAACCTGGTAACAGTAACAGTTTGTTAATAGTGGGAAAAATGGTTTGTGATTGAGGGTGCTAGTCAAAAGGAACTATAATCAATCTAATCTGTAATGTTTTAATTATTTACATGGAGAAGGTGTTGGGTTTTTTTTCCTTATTGAATTTATTGGGGTCACATTGATTTATAAACTTATAGAGGTTTCAGGTGAATAGTTCTATAATACATCACCTATATATTGTATTGTGTTCACCACCCGAAGTCATGTCTCCTTTCATCACCATTTATTACCCCTTTACCCTCTCCTAACTCCCCCACCCCTTTCCTTCTGATAATTACCATACTGTTTGTATCTGTGTCTATACAGTTGTTTTTTTCTTGTTTTTTTATCCTTAATCCTTTCACCTTTTTCATCCCGAGCACCACTCTCTCCCCTCTTACAGCCATTAGTTTGTTCTCTGTATATATGAGTCTATTTCTATTTTGTTTGTTTATTTGATTCATTAGATTCCACATATAACTAAAACCATATGATATTTGTCTTTCTCTGACTGGCTTATTTCACTTAGCATAATACTTTCCAGACCCATCTATGCTGTGGCAAAAAGATTTCATTATGTGTTATGGCCAAGTAGTATTCCATTGTGTAAATGTATCACAGCTTTTTTAACCATTCATCTACTGATGGGCACTTGGGCTGCTTCCAAATCTTGGCTATCATAAATAATTCTGCAAATGAACAAAGGGTGCATATATTATTTCTTTGATTGATTGATTGATTTGGGAGAGAGAAATGGCTAAAGAAAAATAAAAAAAATAATGTTTTGTGACACACAAAACATGAAATTCCATTTTTAGTATCTATTAAGTTCTATTGGAACACATCCATGTTTATTTTTGTATTGTGTATGATTGTCTTCACAATATAATAGCAGAGTTTCTAAAGAAACCGAGTAGCCCAGAAAGCCTAAAATATTTACGTGCTGGCCTTTTACACAAAAGTTTGCCAACCCCTATTCTAGAAGAATCTAAATGTATGATCTTAGACAAAGTACTTCCATTTCATCCCGCTTAGTTTTCTCATCTGCAAAATGGGGATAATAATAACTATACCAGTGAATTGTCTAGAGATTAAGCATCTATAATAATAAAAGCGTAATATGCTAATTAGACCGGACGACCTTCCAGACCAAGCAGGGCTGCCAGGGAAGCCCAGGAGGCCGAAGGAAGGCCTACTCTTGCACGAATTTCGTGCATTGGGCCTCTGGTTCAGTTATAATGTTGAGTTTTGGTTTTAGATTTTACTCTTTTTTATAATACTGAAATTTCTGTGATATTCTGAAATTTCTAGATAAATGGTTTATGGTTGATTTATGTTCCCTTCAGTGGGCTCTCCCTCTCAGGGGAGTATGCCTGCACCTTTCCTTTCCTCCTCTTCATACCCGTAGGCACATTACCTTTGCCTTTCCTCTCCTAAGCTCCAAAGGCCTTTCTACCTTAATAACTTGTTTTCCAAGCCTTTGCAATCCAGCTGGCTCACTTTTGCTACCTCTAAATTTATAAATAAACTTTCTCTTACAATTTGGAAAAAAAAAAAATTTTTTTTTTTTTTTTAATCCTCACCCTAGGATATGTTTGTTGATCGTAGAGAGAGTAAGGTAAGAGAGAGAGATATCTATGTGAAAAACATCTATTGGTTGTCTCCCATACTCACCCCAACCCTGGACCAAATCCTCAACCTAGGTATGTGCCATGGCGGAATCAAATCCGAGACCTTTTGGTGTACAGGACAACACTCCAACCAACTAAGTCACACCAGCAAGGCAGGGGGGATTCTTATGCTGAAGTCCTAATCCCTAGTAATGCAGAAGATATTTGGAGATAAAGGATTTAAAGAAATAATTAACGTTTAATAAAGTCATTAGGGTAGGCAGTAATCCAATATGATTGATGTCAGGACACAGGGAATCAGAGAAAAGACCATGTGAAGACAGGGAGGTCCAGCCAGTGTGGTGTGGCACAGTGGTTGAGCATCAACCTGTGAACCAGGAGGTCATGGTTTGATTCCCTTTCAGGGCACATGCCCTGGTTGCAGGCTCGATCCCCCAGTAGGGGGAGTAAAGGAGGCAGCTAATTAATGATTCTCTCTCATCATTGATGTGTCTGTCCCTCTCTCCCTCTCTGAAAAAAAAAAAATTTTTTTTTTTAAAGACACAAAGGGAGAAGATGACCATCTACAAACCAAGGAGAGAGGCCTCTGAAAACACACACAAAACAATCCTGCCAATGGCTTGATCTACATCTGTCCTCCAGAACTGTGAGAAAGAGATTTCTGTTAAGTTTCCCAGTCTGTGGTGCTATCTTAGAACAGCACTAGCAATTAATACAGATGGGATGTTAGGAGTTCTATTAAGCATGAAGAATAGGGACTGGCAAAGAATTGCCTTCTTTTAGGAAGAGATTATTTTCATTCTGGTAATTCCAGTTTGAGAAATAAAAAAAACCTAGGGCCATCACTGGCTGATTACCCTGTATCCAACTTTTCATTGGTCCTAAAAGTCAAAGACCTACTTAACACATATTTCCTTAAAAGATGATTGCATATTCATCTTTTATAGAGTGAGTACATGTTAAATGCATAGAGAAATTAAATTTTTGCCCTGGCCCAGGTAGCTCAGTTGTTTAAAGCATTGTCCCAATACACCAAGGTTTCAGGTTCAATCCCTAGTCAGGGCGTTTACAAGAAACAACCAATGAATGCATAAATAAATGCAACAACAAATTCATATTTCTCTCTCTCCCTCCTCCTCTCCATTCCTCTGTAAAATAAAATTAAAACTTTTTAAAGAAAATAAAGTGTTGCCCTAACCCAGTGGTCTGCATACTGTGGTCCCTTGAGTATGGCTCTTACACAAAATACCACGGCCTGGGCTAGTCTATTTTGAAGAAGTGGCATTAGAAGAAGTTTAAGTTTAAAAAATATGGCTCTTAAATTTCAATTGTCGTCCTGTTGATATTTGGCTCTGTTGACTAATGATTTTGCCGACCACTGCCCTAACCGGTTTGGCTCTGGATAAGAGCATCGGCCTGCAGACTGAAGGGTCCCAGGTTCCATTCTGGTCAAGGGCATGTATTATATTGATTTTTTTACAGAGAGGAAGGTAGAGGTATAGAGAGTTAGAAAAATTGATGAGAAACATCAGTCAGCTGCCTCCCGCACAACCCCCCAATGGGGATGCGCCCACAACCAAGGCACATGCCCCTAACTGGAATCGAA